TGTTGGTTTGGGAGGGGGCGTGGAGGTAAGGGCTACCGGCTCCTCCGCGGCCTACCTGGTGGCTTGACAAAATGATGCCAGGCGCGTGTGCGTGCGTGCCCGAGATCCCGAGAGGAGAATGGAGGGGAAGGGATTGTGACATGGCCATTCCCCCCAGGGGTGATTCCTCACTTTTCCTCTCTCTCTCTTTGGCAAGCACAAACACGCAATAGCAAAATAAAATAAAATAAAATCACCACTAATTGCTGACATTCCTTGATTTACTCCATAGACTTTTAACATGTGTGTGTGTGTGTGTGTGTGTGTGTGGAGAGGTTTTTGCTATAGGCACTCGCTGGAAACACAGAGAGAGAGACAGAGAGACAGAAAGCGAGAAATCACCCCCCAGGGGGATGGCCACGCCGCAATCCCTTCTCCTCCATTCTCCTCTCGGGATCTCGGGCACGCACGCACACGCGCCCGGCGTGAGTTTAAGCCACTGGGTCCGGGACTCCAACCACGGTCAGCCACATGAGAGTCCAGCGACATAACCATTACTCCATCTGCTGGTCCCTGATCTCTGACCTTCTCTGACCCCTGGTCTCATCCCCCCCCCTCTGTTTTTCTCTGCCTCATTCTATTTTTCCTCTTATTTGACCTGGAGGGCTCTCTCTGGAGAACAACTATAAATTCTATCCTTGCCCGATGGGCTCCAGCACAGGTTGTAGGGACTGGGTACGGTGTGCCCTTTCCCTGGACACTCCTCCCGGTGGACGGCCTGATGGCTAAGTGCCCGACCTGTGACCTGGTGTCCCCTCACCAGAAACCTGTTGATTAACCTTGTGTCTGACTTATCCCAGCAAGACAGCCACTCTATGAGCTCCCTAACCAAAGGGCTATGGGGCCAGCAGGTGGTGTGGTTAGGGTGGCTGGATCCCACATGGCCACCTGTGCAGTTCAAGTCCTGGGTCCGAAAGCTTGGAGAACAACGTCAGGCACATGTGTGTGCGTGCCCGAAATCCTGAGAGGACAATAGAAGAGAAGGGATTGCAGTGTGGCCATCCCCACGGGGGATGAGGGGGTTGCTTTCTCACTTTCCCTCCCTTCCTCTCTCTCTCTGGCAAGTTCACATACCCTATAGCATAAAAAAATAAAAAAAAGAGGGGAGCATCTTTGGTCAGGGGGGACCCAGAGGAGGCAGCTCAACAAAAAACAAAATACATGTGTTAAGAGAAGCAGTTTATGGGACCAGAAGATGGCATAATGGTTACATCACTGACTCCCACATAGGCGACCATGGTTCAAGTCCTGGACCTGGTGACTTAAACTCACACCAAGTGTGTGTGCGTGCGTGCCCAAAATCCTGAGAGGAGAATGAAGGAGAAAGGATTGCTGTGTGGCCATCCCCCCAGGGGGTGATTTCTCTTGTGGTGGTGAAGGCACTGGACTTCCACATGGCCAACAGCAGTTCGAGTCCCAGACCCGACAGCTCACTTTCTCACTTTCCCTCTCTCTCTCTCTTTCTCTGGTGAGCTCATGTGCCCTATAGCAAATTTTAATTATTTTTTAATGAAGTGACTAATTCTTTAAAAACAAATAAAGGCAGAGGCAACATAAAATGACCGGAATTCGATACACACTCGCAGTGGCTCCATCTGTCTGTCTCCTTTTTCTCTTTCTCTGCCTCTCGTCTCTCTATGTCTCTTTGAGTGTCTCTGTTGTCTCTTCAGTTTCACTCCCTCTTCCACTCTCTTCTTCTTATCACTCCCCCTGTCTTTAAACATTTATTTATCTATTTATTTATTCGTTCTGATTTTTGGACCACCAGGTCTGGGATTTGAACTGCAGTCAGCCATGTGGGAGTCCAGTGCCTCAACCACCACACCACCTGCTGGCCCCATTCCTCCCCACCCCGTCTTCTTCTTACTGCCAGAAAGTGTGTGTGCTCACCAGAGAGAGAGAAAGCACCCCAATGGGCAAGGGCATGCTGCATCTTTTCCCCTTCATTTCTTCATCCCATCGGCATTTGGGGACATACACACACATGTGCCTGGCATGTTTTCCAAACCACTGAGGCTGGGATTCGAACTGCACTCAGCCATGCAGGATCCACCTCCCTATGCACTGCATACCTTAGCCACTGTTCTATCCGGCCAGCCCTTCTCTTCTTGTAATTCTTTTCCCTTCTCTCTCCTTCATTTCTCTCTCTCTCTCTCTCATTCTCTGTCTCTCTCTCTCTCACTCTCTGTCTCTCTATCTCTCTCTCTCTGCCTTTTCATCAGCTATTTACTTATTTTTCGAGATTTTGGCCTTAGGGCGCATGCACTCACCAGAGAGCCAGAGGGACAGAGACTGTGAGAAGGAAAGTGAGAACTCACCCTACAGGGGGCTGGCCATTCTGCAATCCCTTCTCCTCCATTTTCCTCCTGGGATCCTGGGCATGCATGCACATACACCCGGCATGAGGGATAAGCCACTGGATCTAGGATTTGAGCCATGGTCAGCCATGTGGGAGTCCAGCACCTTAACCACTATGCCACTGGCTGCCCCTCTGTTCATCCTTTTATATTTTAGTTTTATTTTTTTTAAACAAGACGTAATTATCTATTCTACCTTATTTGTTATTATTATTTTTAATTTGACCAGAGAGAGAGAGAGACAGAGAGAAAGGGAAAGTGAGAAAGCAAGCCGCCGGGTCTGGGACTCAAACAGCAGGTAGCCATGTGGAAGTCCAGTGTCCTTAACCACCACGCCACCTGCTGGCCTCCTCACCCTTTTATATTTCTAAACATCCGCCATGATATCTCTAACTTCTTACCCCTACCTTCCGCTATCTCATGACCACCCCCATCCTTTGTTTCTCTAAAGTTCCTTTGTCCCCTTCCCTCCACCTCTGCCCCCAGGGCTCCGTCAGGACCCCAGACTGCACTGGAAGGGCGGCCCCGCGCTGGGCCGCTCCTTTCTGCACGGACCGGAGCTGGATAATGGGCAGCTACGCGTCCGTCGAGACGGTATCTACAGGCTGCATATCCAGGTGACGCTGATGAACTGCTCCTCCACGTGGGCCTCCGTGCCCCAAGGGGCCACCCTGGCCGTGGGCATCTGCTCCCCGGCCACCCACGCCATCAGCTTGCTGCGCCTCCACTTCCAGCAGAGCTGCACCGTCGCCTCCCAGCGCCTGACGCCCCTGGCGCACGGGGACACCCTCTGCGCGGACCTCACCCAAACGCTGCTGCCTTCCCCAAACACCGATGAGACATTCTTTGGCATTCAGTGGGTGCACCCCTGACCCCGGCTCCTGGGTTGTCTGTTTCTATTTTTCTGTGAAAAAAAAAAAAATGGGGGTGGTTGGGCTCCCCTTGCTGTGCTATAGAGAAAGGAAGAAGATGGGAAGACACAGAGGGACTTATTAATCTAAAGGACGCACGGTGTCAGTCGTCTGGGGGTCAGTAACATCGAAGAGATGGCGGAAACGGAGGGCTGGAAACGGAGGGCTGGAAACGGTCAGGAACGTTGACGATTCTAGTAGGAGGAAGTTAAACCCATGGTCAGAAGGGGCACCATTTTGCTCTTTGTATTATGGTTTTGTTTCCGAGATTTTTGCTACAGGGTGTGTGTGCTCACGGGAGAGACAGAATGTGAGAAACCATTCAGGACTGAGTAATATTCCCTTGCAAGAGCGGGCGTGTATATATAGTTTTAGAAAACACAGAGGGGTTCCTTTGGCCACATATGTACGAGTCTACAAGAACGGGGATATGGTAGACACTGAGGAAATGGGTATGTTCAAAAAGGAGTGCCCCACAAATGTGAGCATGACCCTGTAGAAAAGTCTACAATGTTACCCAGCAGGCTGCTGGCATTGTTGTGAACAAACAAGTTAAGGGCAAGATTCTTGCCGAGAGAATTAATGTGCTATTGAGCATATCAAGCATTCTAAGAGCAGAGATAGCTTCCTAAAGCGTGCGAAGGAAAACGATCTGAAAAAGAAGAAAGTTATGGAGAAAGGGACTGGGGTTCAACTGAAATGTCACCCTGCTCCACCCAGAGAAGCCACTTTGTAAGAACCAATGAAAAGGAGCCTGAGCTTCTGGAACCTATTCCCTATGAATTCGTGGCCGTGATGATGTAAAAAATAAACTAATCTATCATATATATACGTATATAAGAGCATGGGGATTCCTTCATGCTACTATGAATCACCTAGAAGAACCACTACGTGGTTCAGGAATTTTTCTCCTAAGTATATATTTGAAGACATAAAATTAGGCACTTGAAGGCATACATATTCTTCCACATTAACCACAGGGTTATTCACAATAGCTACAATATGAAAATCACCTAAGGCTGTGGTTCTAAAAAGGATCAAGAAAAACTATAGATACATGCCCATTCTTGCAAGGGAATATTACTCAGTCCTGGTCAGCCGTGCAGGAGTTCAGTGACGTAACCATTACACCATCTGCTGGTCCCCAAAGTCCAAATTCTTGCGTTATGGATATGAAGTGTCAGTTGGCTGCAGGATTGCCACAGTCTTCAGCCTTGCTCAGACAGTGGTTCTGTGTGTCTGGCATTCCAAAGTGCTGTGACAGCCTCCAGGAAGGAAGGTCGGACTCACAGGTTGATCATTTAGAAAAAAGACAACACTAGGACCAGCAGTTAGTGTAATGGCTATGTCGCTGGACTCCCATGTAGACGACCGCGGTTCGAGTCCCAAACCCAGTGGCTTAAACTCACACCAGGCGCGTGTGTGTGCGTGCCCAAGATCCCGAGAGGAGAATGGAGGAGAAGGAATTGTGGCGTTGCCATCCCCCCGGGAGGTGATTTCTTGCTTTCTATCTCTCTGTCTTTCTGGTGAGTACATGCGCCCTTTAGCAAAACAAAACAAAAAAACCCTCTCCAAAAAAAGGAATGAAAAAAGGCAACGCTGGGCCAGCAGGTGGCCTGGTGGGGTTGAGGCACTGAATTCCCACATGGCTGACTGCGGTTCAACTTCTGGACCCAGTGGCTTGAAACCCAGGCATGGGACCAGCAAATGGCATAATAGTTACATCACTGGACTCCCATGTAGTTGACACGATTTGAGTCCCAGACCTGGGAAACTGATAAAATTTGAAACTCATGCTGGGCGCATGTGTGTGCATGCCCAAAATCCCAAGAAGAGAAAGGATTATGGTGTGGCCTTCACCCCAGGGGCGGGGTGGGGTGGGGTGGCTTTCTCACTTTCTCTTTATCTCTCTCTGCCTCTTGGGCAAGCACATGCTCCCCATAGCAAAAATCTCTAGAAAAAAATTAAGAAATAAGAAACTCATGCCAGGCACATGTGCATGCAGGACCAAAATTCCAAGAGGAGAATGGAGGAGAAGGGATTGTGGCGTGGCCATCCCCCCCCGGGGGTGATTTCTTGTTTTCTGTCTCTCTGGCGAGCGCACGCGCCCTATAACAAAAACCTCTCAAAAATAAATAAATAAATAAATAAAAATAACCTGGACTTTTCCAGCCCAGCGTTGTAATCAGTAGAGATTGCAAAAGAGCAACCACACAAGAGGATTATTTTGAGAAAGACTTTGAAGGAAGAAAAAGAGACAGGTCTTTGCTAGCAGATGGTATATCACTGAGTACTTGGCAGGCAGGGCTGAATTGAGAAGATTTATATGTGACTTCTGTGCTGGGCATTTGGTTTTCAACAATTTGAGTAGTTGATGGGACCAGCAGTTAACGTAATGGCTATGTCACTGGACTCCCATGTAGTCGACCACGGTTCAAGTCCTGGACCCGGTGGCTTAAACTCACACCAGGCGTGTGTGTGTGTGTGTGCCCAAGATCCCAGGAGGAGAATGGAGGAGAAGGGATTGCAGCGTGGCCATCCCCCCTGGGAGGGGATGATTTCTCACTTTCTATCTCTCTGTCTCTCTCCATCTCTCTGGTGAGCGCATGCGCCATATAGTGAAAACCTCTCAAAAAAAAAAAAAAAAAAAAAACAATTTGAGTAGTTGAAATGTAAATATTTTTTTAAAAATATTTAAACCAGGGAACCAGCAGGTGGCGTGGTGGCTAAGGCACTGGACACTCCCACATGGCCAACCATGATTTAAGTCCCAGACCTAGTGGGCTGCTTTCTCACTTTCCCTCTTTCTCTCTGTGTCTCTCTCTGATCAAATTAAAAAATGAATGAATAAATAAAATTAAATTAAAGTTTTTTAAAAATTTAAAATCAGACTGTCTTTGTCATAGAGTCACAGATAAAATTACACAAAATTCTAAGAAATATTTTGAACATTATCCTTAAAATTCAGTATTTTGAAATTTTGAAAGTTGTTTATTAACTGTGAAGAACCATGGCATATGCTGATGCAAAAATGTTTGGATATGTAAATATTTGTGGAAAAATGTAAAAATAAATAAATAAACGGAATGCAGAGTGGTGACTATATTAAAATACATTGATTAAACATTTTTATTGGATGAATTTTCTGGTGTGTGAGTTATAGCTCAATAAAGTTGTTACAAATAAAAGGAAAATAGATTGGAACCGGCAGGTGGTGCGGCAATTAAGGTGCTGGATTCAACATGGCCAGCTGCATGGTTTGAATCCCAGACACAATGGCTTGAAAGTCACACTGGGTGAGTGTGTTTGCATGCCCAAAATCTCAAGAGGAGACTGGAGAGGTTTTTTTTTTTTTTCACTATAGGGCACGTGCGCTCGCCAGACAGACAGAGACATAGAGACAGAAAGCGAGAAATCACCCCCCAGAGGGGATGGTCACGCTGCAATCCCTTCTCCTCCATTCTCCTCTTGGGATCTTGGGCACGCAAACACACGCGCCTGGCGTGAGTTTTAAGCCACCAGGTCCGGGACGCGAACCGTGGTCGACTACATGGGAGTCCAACGACATAGCCATTACACTAACTGCTGGTTCCCCCTAGGAGATGATTTCTCACTTTCCCTCTCCCTCAGTCTCTGGTGAGTGCGCATGCCCTAGAGCAAAAATTTTTTTTGAAATTTTTTATTTTGGTTATAGGACATATGCACAGAGAGATACAGAGATACAAGAAGTGAGAAATCACCCTCCAGAGGGGGGTTGGCCACCATGCCATGGGAAATAGTCATGCCTCAATTCCTTCTCTTGTACTCTCCTCTTGGTGTTTTGAACATGCACACACACATGCCCAGTGTGAGTTTTTGAGTCACTGGGTCCGGGACTTAAACCATGATTGACTAATGCAGGAATCCAGAGATGTAACTATTACAGCATTTGCTGGTCCCCCATAGCAAAAATTTAAAAAAATAAAAAATAAATTTAAAAAGAAAGGAAAAGGGAAAAAAGGTGGAGAAAAGAAGGAAGAAAGACTGGAGGGTAGAGATGGGAAGGAGGAAGGGTGGTGAAAAGTTGATGAAGAGCTAAGAAGTCCATGCAGGATTGAGTGCAAAGAGCAAAGCATTGGACAAGCAATTGCCAACACATGACCAACTATAGAAATCAGTATTAGTGTGGTTTATTACTAAGCATGAAATGGAGTGGCACACCCGGAGAAAGACCAGCATGTTTCTCCAGACTGCTCAGATAGAATAGTGCCTTTTATTTGGCTTTGAGAGTGAGAGGCCAAGTTTGTCAAGTTTTTCAATCGGTCAGGCCCATGAAGGTGGGACATTTGGAAATAGAGGCTTGTAAGTTTTAGGTGGGTTTACACATTTTTAGGTTGGTGATTAGAAAGGAAAGTCTGTGTCTAGGGAAGAGATCAGCCAAAGCATGTCTGGGGCTGGCAGGTAGTGTGGTGGTTAAGAGCGCTAGACTCCCACACGGTCAACCACGGTTTGAGTCCTGGACCTGGTGGCTTGCTTTCTCACTTTCCCTCTCTCTCTTTGTCCCTCTCTGGTCAAATTATAAATAAATAAATAAATAAAGGTAAATAAAATAATTCTTTTTAAAAAAGCATGTCTGCTATTTACCTTAACAGAGATAAAAGGCTTACTATACAACCGAAAGATACTGTACCAGGGACAGGAAACAGAAAGAGTCCTGTTATGAATGGGCCAACATGGTCTGTTACTATTTCAAAGGGTGACTCCCCCAGGCCCTGTGGAAAGGATTTTGGATTAGGAAAAAGCAGTCAGACTTTTGTCCTCACAAGGTATAAAGCAAGAGAGTGAGGAGAGGAACCGATAAGAAGAAGCCAGCCTGAAATTCTCATGAAACTCAGCTTCTGAAAATGTCATGCAACCCACTTTCTTGCCACTTTTATAGCTTAAACTGACAACATTTCTCTTCGGCTCCCAGTTCCCTTTTTGCCTTCAGGCCCTGTCCTTTCAGCCCAGCCTTCAGTATTTCTTTTCTTTTTCTTTTTTTTTTTCACTTGCTAAAGGGTACATGTGCCTTACAGAGGGATATGAGAGCATTCCCTGCCATGGAAAATGGTCATGCTGCAATCTCTTCTCGATTTCCCCATCCTATCAAGATTCAGAACATGCACACACACACATATACATGTTTTTGTTTATTTTTTTAGAATTATTTTATTTAACTTCACTTATTACTATTATTTTTTATCTTGACCAGAGAGAGACAGAAAGAGAAAGAGGAAAAGTGAGAAAACTAGCCAACAGGTCCAGGACTCAAACCATGATCAGCCATGTGGGAGTCCAGTGCCTTTAACCACCATGCCACCTGCCGGCTCCCCCACCTGTCATGTTTTTTAAGCCATCAGGGCTAGACTCAACTCCATGGTCAACCATATGGAATTTCACTCCAAATGCCCAGCACTTAACCACTACGCTATGAGGCTGGCCTGCATGCTATTTTTTTTTTTTTTTTTTTTTTTTACTTTTTAAAATTATTTTCTTTAACTTTATTTATGTACTTATTTTAATTTGACCAGAGAGGGACAGAATGAGAAAGAGAGAGAGAGAGAAAGCAAGAAAGCAAGCCAGCAAGTCTGG